GTAGATTTTATGAATATGAATAAAGAAAGGGCTGAAGTTATTGAATCATAAATGAAAAGTAAGCAGGTAATAATATTCAAATAGAACAAAAATTGAAAAGTAATATTAAGAAATTTTTCAAAAAAAAAGTAAATAAAAAAGTATGAAAAGAATGAAAGAGAAATGAAATTGATAGGTTTTAGCAGCATTAATAGTTTGGAAGGCAGAATGCCCCAAGTATTCAAATAAAGTAAGTTTATTCAGGCCATAAAAAAAGAATCTGTCATTTAAAAGGAAAGAAAAAAAACGATGTGAAAAGTAGAAAAGAAGTAGAAGTGAATTTTATCATTAACTTTTTGCAAACGATCGATTGTTACTGACATATGATATTCGACAAATATGGATGGATATATGAATAAGATAGTAAAATAGATAGATGAGTAGATGGATGGATAGATGGATAAGTGGATGTTTGGATGGTTGCGCTTACATAGTTGGATAGATAGATAGATAGATATATGGACTGATGGATAAATGGGTGGACGTGTACTTTTTCTGAATCACAACAACTTTGTTATAGCTTTGGTGATTTATGCCTGATAAAAGCCTAGACTAAGAGTTAGAGTTAGTTAAATAAGTATAAGTCTAAGCTTACTAGGTTTTAGGCATTTTATCCTCGTTTTTTACTCTTTTTTTTCTCTCTCTCTCTTTGCAGAGCAAAAAAATGAAAGAAAACAGGTGAAAAAGAAGGAATAGTAAGAATGGAAAACTTAATTGTAATACTTTGCAGCAATTTCTGTCATATTTTGGCTCATTTAAGGCCAATTATAAGTAAACGAAAGGACAGCCTAGCAAGTAATAAGGCTTCATTTCTATTACTTTTTAGTGCTATTTGATACTATATTTTTGCAAAATTATATGTTCAAATAGCAAATAAACTTTACTATCTTTTTGCAGTTTTCTTCTAAAAACTAAATAGCATTTCTAAGATTTGTTTGCTTTAGTTAGAGAATTTTACTAAATTTTGAATTATTTCATAGCTAAATAAGCAAACGCTTAATTAATCCTTCTTTCATATGCTTTACTTTTTCACATTACTTGCCTATAATCTTATACAAAAATTTAACTGAAGAGTACTTTTTTAATACAGTATGTCCAGTTAAAGATAAGGATTACTTTAGCTTACTAAATGGTGTTACTTTCAAGAAAATCAGCAATTTGTGATCAGAAGTATTCAGTTTTTACTGTATTGTGACGTAAATGAAGCAGAAGCAAGTATTTAGTAGTATCAGTGAATATCGTCATGGATGAATATGTCGTAATTATAAATGAATCAAAATTTCTTGATTACTTTACACTACTATTTGAGTTTTTGGTCGATTCTTTGTTATTAATACAAAAAACTGATAAACTGAAAAAGAAAAAATTAGTACGGAAGCTGAAATGAATAAGTTACTGCAATGGTTTTGATATCTATACTGCTTAATTGATAAGCATATTATTAACAAATATTAGTTAAGTAATTATTAGTTACCATAGCTGATAGTTATGATGATTGCTCAAATTATTTTGTTAGTTCTTGAACTGGTGAAAATTGAAATACTTGTACAATGGAAAATAGATAAGATTTGAACAAAACATAAATTATATGAGAAACTGAAGTAATATTGACATTTGTTAAACAATGCATTAAAAAAATATCCTTGAAAGTAATAACTTAAGAATATTGAGTTCAAAAAAGTTCGTTAGGAAAACAGTGTTCAAAAAATTATACAAAATGTTATCTTTTTCATGTTAAAAATTATGAAAAGAGAAGGAAAATTTAAATTGCAGTGATAATTATAACTCTAGCGGATTTTTCTGACACTCAGCTCTTCTCTATCCTTATATTAGAATAAACAGTTCTCTTAAATTACAACTAATTTAGACTCAAACTATAGCTAAATGCTCCAATATAGCTAATTTAAGTATTTTAGAAAAAAACATTACTTGTATATTATTAAATTATTGAATACAACATGTAGGGAAATTGCAACTTTTATTATTCATAGAATATTTTTTATAATTAATTTTCAATTGTTCCATTTTGTAGTTGCAAGTTATTTGAGTATATTTTTCAATGGAAAGACATAAAAATTTAATCTTTGTTGATATTTTCTTAAATTAATTGTAGAAGCGAAATTTTGATTTTCGTTTAACAATAATCTGTCATTCAAATTCTAATTCTTGACTTTTGAAGAATTGCGTCTTTTTAACGCAAACTTATAAATTGAATTCATAATTTTGAATTTGACATTCCATTCATTTTTAAAAAGTACTTTTATAGTTAAGTTTCAGTTTTATTGTATAATATGTTAATTAGCTATAAAAATAATTTGAATGTTGTGCTTCAATTTAATATTAAATTATTTCATATACATTGCTATTTTTTTTGCAATTATTATCTATTTTTGCATAAATTTTCCCATTTTCTTCTTTTGATAATATTTTTTCCACTATTTTTGATTAATACTGTCGAACAAACAAATGCACGAGCATGAAATTAGAGATTAATATAATCAAATTACTACGATTTTTCGTTTGCATTAATGGAAGGCACAGCCATCAACTGATATTTATTCAAATCCAATTTTTATCATTACTGCGTAAATACGTCTAATTTTTGTTCAAAGTATATTAGCATTTTAGTTATATTAAAAATAAAAATTGGAATTAAAAATGAAATGTACAATGCATTCATGCGAGAAAATAAATACAAGAAACCCAAACATAAAGTTGTTAGCAAAAGGCAAATTAGTTTAAAAATGAATAATTTGAAGAAACAAAGTCGTTTCTTTGATAGGTTTCAAACTTAAAAATAATAACTATTATAAGAAAGTTAGAAAAATCTATTGGCCTCTATCAATTAAGCTTGAGTAGATAGGCATAACTAGTAACTAGTGTCAAGAACTTATTTTTAGAGTAATGGTTATTCAATTCTTGCATTTGTTTTCAGTATATTCCTCTCATTCTTCAATTTTAATATTACTTTTGTCATTATTACCCATAATTTACTGCTTTTATTCGAAAAGTTAGCTACTATTGCTTCTGGTGATACTATAATCTTCATGATGGCATTATCATCATCACTCCTGTCTTCTTACTTTTATTCAACCATTTTGCATAAGTTTGCGAAGCACATATTGACTACCCTTGCAATCTAGAAGAAAATTTGATCATTCTTTAATTAAGTTGACAATTGTATGTTCTGCTCTTGAGCTAGATGAAAGTTTATGTCAGTTTTGATGTAATGTTTCGGGATTATTTTTCAACTTCCTCATTACTCTTAATCTTTGTTATGTACAAAGTGACATCACGAATGATTTGTTTATCGCGAATTCTATAAAATGCTGATGATTGTTCTCACATTTAGCATTCACATAGATATTCACCTTGAAATGTTTTTAAAATTTCTAGCAACTTCCGAAGAATACTTTCTTATTTTTGCCTTGTTGCTGTATTATTTCCTTCTCATCATTTATTACTGCGCATTTTTATCTTCAAAATATTGCTGTTAGTGAGAGATATGAGCTGTTGTTTCGGAGTATTCTTCCTTTATTAATAACATAATCATGAAAGTAAACTTTTGAAGTATATCTACCTTTTGACAACTAACTTAACGATCCCCGTTCAATTTAAGCATAATGAAATTGCTAATTTATATTTGCATATTAGATCTTTAATTCTTGCATTATCTTCATATTTGAATAATTATCAGTGATAAGTGCTGAATGTAATGACATAATAAAGACCCGCTTTTGTAAAAACTATACGTAGGGACTGTTTAAAACAGCCACAAAATTGTTATGCATGCGCTCGTTTTTTTCAGGTAGAAACTGATCGTCTTTAGAATCTGATCACACAGTGAGCCTTTGATGCAATCATTTCGCGTAATTCACGTAATAATACACTGAAATTCGTTACTGTTCTTGAAATATTTCGTAATGAAAATTTATGCAAAAATTAATCTTGATTTCTTTCTCTCCACAATTTTTTAAATGATAAAGTACGTCAATTTTTTTTTTGAATGTACAAAAGTTAAACATTTTACCGAGGAAGCAAGCAAAAAATGTTGGGAAAGTAAAGCGTGATACGAGGTCTACACGTTTGCTAACATCAGCATTACCGAATAAATATTTTAGCAATCGTAATTTCCTCCACCAATTTCTTCTCCTATGCACATTTGTATTCAAACGCATTGGTTGTCTTACATTCTAAATTTCCTTGATAAAATACGAATTTTAGTAATAATTTCATAAAAATTACAACTTTACCTTTGAAAAATATAATTTCAAGTAATAGCTCTGAAATTTTTTATGAAAATTATCAAAAATGAGTTCAAATTATTTACGTGGTAAAAAATTTGATCTGCAGAACATAAACAACCCTGATAACCAGTTCTCTTCTTTTTCTCTTTTTTCCAGAATTCTTGTCTTCCATGATAATTAACTAAAGCATATTCTAGTAGAGCACCAAAAATAAATGCCATGCATACTCCAATCCATACGTCAACTGCTTTAATGTAAGATACTGGTGGAAGTTTAGCATTAATTCCTGATGCTTGAGTAGTCATAGTTAGTAACGTTGTCACACCCAACGATACTCGAGCTGGTACCGCATCCTAACAACTTTTGAATTAATTTCAGGTAGTGATAACATTTTTAATGATTGATAAATGTCATAAGTATACATATATTTATAAGATAATGCAAACAAAATATTACTACAAACTATATTTTAAATATTTATTACTAAAAACAATGTGACAATAAAAAATTTCAATTTAAAACCAAAAAAAATTTTTACCTTATCAAGCCAAAACGAAACCCATGAAACGACCACCAGCATAATACATGGTATATAGAGCTGAATTAAATAATAACTAAACATGACATGTAATATACAAATTCCCAAGTATAATTCAAATATTACCTGTATTCACGACGTAATAATAGCTTCACACGAGCACAACTGTATTCACCTACAACAAACATTCGATAAAATAATTTTTGATGTGCATAACATAAATAGCAAATTAAAGCAAGTTACAATAATTTCTAAAATAACTTATTACATATTACAAAAATGTGTAAATTTATAAAAATAAATTAAAAGTAAAAAGAAAAGCAATCATCTATTCATTGAGTAACTTTCTTCATCATAAGAGTATGAGCTTGAGCAAAAATAAGGCAGCCAAGAATAATACAGAACGATACACACACATATACAGTTTTCATCGCCACTTCAACAGGTATTGTATATACGCTACAGTATACCGAATATATGTTACATAAGATAAACAGCCCAATATAATACTGAAAAATGCAAAAAAAAACTTGAACAACAAGCCATGCCATCAAATGCCATGATAAATTGAATAACTTTAAATCAAACATTCATGCAGCAAAAAATAGGGCAAGTAAACTTTGCTGCCTTGTACTGTCCATTCAATAATTTTATAATATTAACAACAGTTAGACATCTCTTATATTCATGTATTTTTCATGCAATATATTTAGTTATATGCATTAAATTAACAAATTAAAATAAAGTAACAGCAGAAAATATGCAAATTCATTTTCATTTTTACCTCTTTTTTTGATTTATAAAAAGATTAGAATGAAAAACTGACATACCATTGAAGCAGGCGTAACCAATTGGAAATACCTAAATAAGTATTTAAAAAGCAGATGAAACAAACAACAAAACAACCATACAAAATTAATAACCGTCAAACATACAATTTTTACTACCATTTTAATTTTCGTATTTGATCATTCGGCTATTTCTGAATTATTTTTTAAGCATTATTGTTAATTATATCGGAATATCATATTATGTACTAATCCCATTAAAAAATTCTAAAATATTTCCGAGGAAACTATTATTTTACGATAAACACTTGTAATAAAAATAACATTAAAGTATAGGTCAAGTCCTAGCAGCTATTTAAGACATTTTTGTTACCAAGCGTGAGACAACGTCAATTCGTTTGGAACGCTCCTTATAGCGTCGTACAAATAACCGGAAACACCACCAAGACCGGTAAGAAGGTGTTGTAGATGTTGCTACTAAAGGTTGATAACCTGATGAGTAATCCATTTGTCTGGTATGTTTGGATAACTGCAAAACTACTTTTCAGACCCTTATGTACAGTTTAAAATTCCCCGTAACTTATTGTGTTATGATATTTTAACTAATGCAAATAAGGCAAATTATCTGTATGCAAATAACTTTCCACATTTCAGTCAGTTTTTTTAGTTTATACAAGTGTGTATAAAAAGTTTGACCACAACTTTCTACAGTTATATTCAAGCACATTCAACATCAGTAGGTCACATCTTGACTTTTAAGGAAAGAAGATTAAAGATTTATCTTTGAAGTAATTTATGTAATAACTTTAAGTTTACAAATGACCCTAAAACAAACCATTCGTTGTCCAATAGTCATATCCTTTCGTGCTGCATAATTCACCAACGCAAATTCAAGTAATGCACCAAAAATAAATGCTAGACAAACACCAATCCAAACATCTATCGCCTAAATCTTTTCTAGTACAGATGAAAAAAGCCAAAAAGTTCGTTCGTTGTGTAAAAAGTGAAAAAAATTAACTAGTCTATACTTTCATGCGTTTGTTACTATAAGTAACGCTCTCAAGTAAGGAATCTTAAGTAAAGAAGAAAAAATTATCGAAATTTCTTTACAATTACAATATACATTTGTGATATAAATTACTTTCACTTTCCCTTCCTACACTACAAGATGATGCTTGAACTGCATTTTAACGTAATTTATCGAAAGTGTAGAATTTTTTTGATTTCAGAAAATTTGAAAATTTTTGAAGATTTGAAAAACTTAGAGTCTTAATTATTATGTATGATAAATCATTGATAAATAAATAATTTTAGTAATAAGAATAATTTTAAAAAACTAAATTAATCCATTAACTAGTACTTAGAATATCATTTACAAGTTACTTTGAGAAAGCTATCAAAAACCTTTGTGTAGGAAACAGGAGGAAGTTTAGCATTGATTCCAGAACTTTGCGTAGTCATCGTTAGAAGAGTTGTTACACCTGAAAACATTTGAAAACACACAAAACATCCAATAATTTACATATACACACACATTCAAACATAAAATGCATTAAAAATTATAAGAAAATTCTAAAAACAATTTACTGAAAAACTGAAAAAAAAAATTTTAACAAAAAAGGGAAAGTAATATTTTTCAAAAGTGAATTTTTAATGCTGCTAGAACTGCTGTCAGAGTTAAAAATGCATCCATACCAAGAGTAACTCGCGCAGGTACCGAATCCTTGTCAAGCCAAAAGCTCACCCAAGAAACGATAACCAACATGAGGGAAGGTATGTATAGCTGCAATTTTTTCTCATACCATTCAATTTTCAAAAATAGAAACTAAAAAATGAAAAAAAATTCATGAAAAAAAAATCTTTCAGCATTCCATAAAGTATGTGACAAAATTAAATATATCAAAAACATTCAATCATTGTTGCAAATGTATTAATTACAAAAGACATTTTGGTAATTCCGTATTTTTAAAATCAACAATTAAGCGAATTTAACATTTTCTTATATTAAATCTTATTAGAAATTATATTATTGATAAGTATACCAAAATGTCTGTCAAAATATGCAAATTAGTGGTGTTTATATTGAAGGGGTTGAAAGTGTGATATCCAAACTATGAAAACATAAGCAGTCACAAAAAAAAGTGAAAATTTTAATAATATTTTTTTGCTGTTGAGATAATGACACCGCACACACCTGCAACAGATAGTAGCTGAATTCTCGTCGTAAAATCATTTTGGTTCTTAAACAGCTATATTCACCTGAAATGTTACCATCGAAACCAAAAACAACTAATTCAAAATTTAGAAATAAAAAACAACAAAAAACGACAAAAACCATGCAATCAAATGCATTCAATTTTTTAACTTTTCATCTGTTGAAGCCTGAAAAAGTTTTGATATAAAATTAATAATAATTATTATAGCTATACCTGTATTTGTTTTACTCGTGCAATAATCAGTGAGAACGTCTTGAAGCTCGAAACTTGGTAAACTTTGACGTAATCCTTCTTTTTGCTGAATCGGATTTGTCAATTTCCATTCGTATTTAATGTCATCAGTAGTGTAAGCATCTTAAATGAAAATTTCACTTATTAATTTTCATATTCATCACTGATTTTTGATTCATTTACTTTAAAAAATAAGAATATATCATTAAGTAAATAAAATTCTCGGCAATATCACTCTAATACGAAAGATTTGCGTTCATCTATTTTCAATTAATTTATTAGAATACACTTAAATTACCGTACGATTTCTTATATGAAACGGTGGGATTTGAGTGCATAAAGTATTAAGCTTTTTGCTTTGAATAACAAAATCATTTTACTGTAAAGTGAAATTTTCAAATTTATTTCAATAATTTTAGCTTTCAAAAATTTAATCATTATCACTTAAATGATAAACTGAAAAAAGCTAGGCTTAAATCTAAGAATTTAGTGAAAACTTTTCACTTACAGCTAGCAAGATCGATGAGGCAAGTTTGTCGATCTAATGGATAGTATTCTAAGGACATAGGACATGACAGTACTAGTGATAATCTGAAAAATTAATATCCACTCATATTTTCCTCGCTTTTGATTGATATCATAATTTAAGTAAAAAAAGACAGAGTTCATTGAAGAAGTAATCAAGTAATTATGTAGTAACCAAAAATTGCATTTAGAAGCTATTAGATAAATAAATTATTATAAATTTTTTCATTTTCGCACCAGTCAATAATTTTATTTCTATATAAAATTGTACCCAAATGTGTTGAAAAAAAAATTTTTTTTTAAAGTTTTTATTTTTTTATTGGAAAAAAATCAATAATTCC